ATGTATGCAATGTATGTATGTAATGTATGTATGTAGTGTATGTATGTAATGTATGTTATGTAATTTATGTAATGTAATGTAATGTAAATGTAAATGTAAATGTAAATGTAAATGTAAATGTAAATGTAATGTAATGTGATGTGATGTGATGTAATGTAATGTAATGTAATGTACGTATGTATATGTATGTATGTATGTATGTATGTATGTATGTGTATGTATGTATGTATGTATGTATGTATGTATGTATGTATGTATGTGTAATGTATGTATTATGTTGTTTATTTACCACTACATGTGGCACCAGCTCCTTTGGGAGAAACATTGGTTTCAGCGAGAGAGGTTGTGCTCTGAGACAGTGCTGTGTTTGCTCGACTCTTCCATGGAATCCTGGCTTCTGCCGTTGCTTAGTTCGTCCAAGACTTACGAAACGCTCGCTTGATTCAGTCGCTTCGATTCCCTCACCTCCGTCCCTCCCACATCGCACGTCGTCGTGTGGTTCCCCATCCTTCCTACTTACCTCTCTCCCTTGTGCCCTCTCTCACTCTGAGTGTCTATTCCTTCCCTCTCTGACGCACTTGTTCTCCTGACGACATGAGTTTCTAGAAGCTGTAGATGTAGTATGATCGAAGCTTGAAGTAGTGTTTTCCCGAGGCCTACGACAACATCCCAGCGCTTCGCCAGCTTCTGAATAAGAATGCCAACGTCAATGGCGTGACGGAGCAAGGAACGGCGCTCGTGGCCGCGGCACGCCACTGCCACATTGGGGCCATGGAGTTTTTGCGAAATCACAACGCCACCGTGGCCAATGCAGTCCAAGGAAACTGCAGCGAGTCAACGCTTCTGCAGGTTGTCCGAGCGCACGCCATGAACACCGAAACGTGCCAGCAGAAGGCCAAAGGTTCTGCGGGCGAGAGTGCTTCGCAGAACTACACGGCGCTGTGGGATGTCCTGACCATCCTCCAGCAGATGAGCCCGTCGTCAGGCAAAGCTTGCCAAGGCCCGTCTGAGAGTCTGCCATTCCATGAGTCTCTAGACCGGGGCTTCAGGAAATCATGACTAGTTGCCTTACCTAGGCGCCTCCTATCACCAGGATGCCATTATTTCTAGAGTTATGTTTTCAGAAGAGACTGCCCTAGCACCTGCGTTTTGTGAATAGCCGCTTTAGCCTCCAGGGAGTGTCTTAAATGCTGCATGATCTTCAGCAGTATTATTATCGATTCGACTTTCAGCTTCAGACTTTTTCCAAGCAAGAAACGACGATGTCATGTTAAATCTCAAACGTTTCTTAGATTGTTGTTCAGGCTGCTTTTGTTGTCTTGGGAAAACATGTCATGCTGCAGCTGATTCTTTGTAGATCCACTCCTGACAGATCCAACTGGCTTTGTTTGGAAACAGGGGGCTGTTGATAAACCAATCTTTTGTTTCTAAACATAAGAAAGGGAAAGGGGGGCGCGAGGGTCTTCCAACATGAGGTCAACTTGGCAAGAGTCCCTTACCCCCCCCCCCC